TCTTTAAAAGAAAGTGAAGAGAGCAAAGTAAAATGAAGTTAAAGGCTCATGGTCATCTACTACAATTTTCTCATTTATAGAGTCGAAATGATATGTCAAATTTAATCCCATACACACTAGTTACCACATTAGTCACAATACATGTATTAATGAGTCAGGACATTTAAATAATTATTTATATAACACTCTTGGACAGATTTAGACTGCTAACCCATTACACCCTCTCCATGCATTTCCAGTCATGAAGGAGTTCGAGTACTCATATACTGAGGTGAGATTATGAAGAAAGCAGGTTGGTTTTCCTTGGACATACATGTACCCGTGTGTGTTTCAGAATACCCGTGAAGGGTGGAACAGTTCGGTAGGTGTAGTAAATGTTCAACTAATAGGGACATGTCTTACTCTGTTAGAAAATCATGGCTCTTTCTGTTTCTTTATCCAAAGCACAATAGATAATACATAATCTGATAAGTATTCGTCATTTTTAAATGTCTTTGGGTTGTTTATGTTGGCGACTTATTTGGAAAAGGTGAAGATAACTTGATTGATCTTATAAATCCTTTAAATAATCTAATTGTGAATAGGACAAAAATTTCGGACCCCCGAAACACAAGAGGTGGGATAAGGGGGGCCTAAGAGGAGTAAGTCCCCCCATTACCGTAAGCTTTTGTATTGATCAGGTAAATAGAGTAGTCCGTAGTCAAATTCGTATTAAAACAATGACCTTAATATTGGTATATCAATATTTATCGATTGATCCAAAAGTGATGTCACATCTTTAATAATCAAATGTTATCAACAAAATCTGACAAACAGACACCCCTGTCTATTCTGATTTTTGCCTTAAAATTTCATTCGATTATATAAAATATATATTTTTAAATATTATAAAAATACAACTCAATGTTTTGTCTATCGCTACACAGCAAGACTGTTACCGACGTCGTTTAGACGTTACTTTTCGGCACTTATTTTCAGTTCATCCGCATATCTTTTTAACCTCTCTCATGCTCCATTTTAGTAATCTTAACTGCCATTTTGCTATAAACCGTCTTGTTTTGAGTTGTAGCATTAAAATTATTTGAACTTTGCCTAAATGCTTTTTCTAAATTCATTCCTTTCTGAGTAAATCTTATGTATCATTAGATTCAAAATGAGTGTTGAAGAGAAACGTCATAACGACTTTGGTACATTCTTGCCGTGCGGCAATAGACGAGACCCAATGTTGTGTGTATTTGAGTATTTTATAAAGTATTGCATATATCTGAATAAAATTTTAGGGCAAAAGTCAACTTACTTTGTCAATAACCTGTCCCGGTTTGAAAATTGATCGTACGCAGAGCATGCTCTACCGTGAGACATAAACACCGTAAGTAGGTGATAACTTGAAAAATATTACTAAAGGCCGGAATACACGGTAAGAGCTGTATTATAAGATTTGTATTATGATACAAAATCTTATTTTGTATACACCCTTAATACAGTGTATCATAAGATTTTCGAATCTTATATAAAACTTTTTTAAGGATAGAGCAATGCTCTATTTATTAACACAAGTCTTAACTTACCTTTCCTTTCAACCAATCAAATGTACTCACACTGGGGATCATCCTATTTTTATCATTACTAAAAATAGCACATATTAAATAATGATGGCCGACGTAAGCTGTAAAGATATCGGAAAACTCGTGATTTTATGAGGAGGAGAAGATTTGTGAAATATATCAGGTGCACATGCAGGTTCTAGTAATCTTTCTCAATAAAATTCTGGGAACATATTGTTCAATCAAACTGTTTCTAATTATTATCAAGCGAAATATGGAGGGGGAACACGTAGAAATACCTAAAGTCTATTTACAATCTTATAAGATATGTATTAGTGTGTGTACAAGAAAGAATTGTAATACAAAAGTATTATAATACTTGTATTATACTACAAATCTTATTGTGTGTACCGGCCCTAAATGAATTATAAAGGGAAGCTTACGATGGAAAAGCTAAATCATCCGTCGATCATATTGTATGTGTTAGTTGGCCAATAACGTCTATATAGTGAGTAAAACGTCCAAATATGAAACAAGTATGGTAAACTCTGTGGGGTTTTTTTTCGAGTTTACTGAGACCTTTGAAATTATCGTAAAATTTGTTTCTATCAAATTCGTTTCTTTTATTGCAAATTATTTTATTTTATTCAATATTGCATTGTTCTTCAAATTGGTTTGGTGGTTGCATTCATTTTTAATTCGTCTGATTTATAAGCTCAAGTGAACTTTTCTGATCACTCATTATTCTAGATTTATAAACTTGTCACATCTCTAGAACTACCTGGTTAATTTCAACCAAACTTGCCACAAAGCGTTCTTGGGGGAAGTGAGTTCAGATGAATTCAAATAAGGGACACATTCTCTTTCAAGGGGAAATAATAAGAAACCAGTGAATTGGTTGGATTTTAAAAAAAAAGGTCTTCTGGTTAAACTTCTTTGACATATTCTTTATTAAGAGGAGCTCGGGGATAAAGATTTAATAATGAAATGCATGCATACAGGAAAAAACTTCTTCATATTGTACAGGAAGGTCATGGGGTCAATGTTTTTTCCATAGGAATAAAGAAGAACAAATTTAAAGAAAAATCTTTAAACTCTTTTGAAGAATTGCAAAAAGGATGATTTGTTAGAGCTTTTTGGCGTATGGGCCTCTTGTTATCAAAACTCACTATGCAGCTATACAAACTTACATACTGCAATAGTTTCTATTTAAACACACACCATACTACCCGCTGAACAGAGAGTTACACTTTAGAGAAAGAGCTGATCATTTTGAAGGTATAAGTATTGCCAACCTACACACCACTTCTCACGTGAGCTTTGTGCATTTTCTTTGCTATCTTTATTGGTTTTCTTTACAAAAGAAAGCGTGGCTAATATTCAAATTAGTAAATCTATCGGATAGGAATAGAAGGACCAGAGGCAAAAAAGCTTAATTTTAACCATTATTAGAAATTAATTTGAAAAAAAAACCCAATCACTTATCTCATACAAATCTGCATCTAATTGTAGATTTTGGAGAAACATGGCAGAAAAAGGTTTGTATCGATTACCCTCTCTTAGGGTGACTGTGAAGAGGTACTATAAAACTCATTACAATGAATAGAAAGAGAGGTTATATGTAATATAAGAAGTTAATTTTCTGTGAATAAAAAAAAATTATCATAGACAATTTAAGATAAAAACACAGCTTAGTTTATAAATTTTTTTACCATGCAATGTAACATTAGATAACATGGGATTTTCTTTTTTCTCAAAGAATCCAGTATAGAGATATAGAACTGTATAATTATTTAGACATTTTTTTGGTCAACAGATGAGAAAAGTCCAGATGAAACAAAAGAGCAGGTATAGTGATTGATGTTTAGTACTTTGACTAAATAACAGTTATTTGGATTGAAATATATAAATACATCAATTTTTATTAAATATTTGTTAGATGAATAAATTTTGTTATATACCTCTTTATTTTTTTAGGATAAACAGAAGGAAAGGGTGCACCCAGGTGAGTTTTAACAAGACACCATTGAATGAAATGATTGTTAATTCAACATCTAAGTCTTCAAATATTCGTAAAAGTGTTATTCAAAGCAAAGATCCTGTACTTACTATTATTTGACTTTTCTTTTGCCAGTTAATTAAGTTGTCGTTTCTCCATCTGTCTGTCTATTGGCTTGTCAACTGTTTGTCCATCAAACTGTCTGTGCTCTATCTATACATCTTTTTGCTTGTTGTCCATCGTCTTTCCATCAGACTTTCTTGTTCTCCATATCGATCTCTATCTATAATTGGTTTGTATTTACACAATTTCTTGCCTAGCAAACGGTCGTCGCCCGCGTGGCGCAGTGGTTAGAGCGTTTGCTCTAGAGTCGCGGAGTAAGGACCTTAGGTCGCGTTTTCGAATCCACTGAGGGACGTACATGTAAAGACCGGTCCTTCGGATGAGACCGTATAAACCAAGGTCCCGTGTCGCAGTAGGTGTTGGCACGAAAAAGATCCCTCATTGCTCAATGGCCCTGAGTGCCGAATAAAGGTATAAATTTGCAGCCCTCCACCGGCAAGCGGTGGCGTCTCCAAATGAGTGAAATATTCTCGAGAGGGACGTTAAATAACAAACAAACTAACTAACAAACTGTCTATTTACTTGTTTGTCTATAGTCTGTCTTTCAAACGTTATAGTCCTCTATCTGTCAGTCTGCAGTGTATTGGCTTGTCTCTATCTGTCAGTCTACAGTGTATGGACTTGTCTCTATCTGTCAGTCTACAGTGTTTTGGCTTGTCTCTATCTGTCAGTCTACAGTGTATTGACTTGTCTCTATCTGTCCGTCTACAGGGTATGGACTTGTTTCTATCTGTTAGTCTACAGTGTATTGGCTTGTCTCTATCTGTCAGTCTACAGTGTATGGACTTGTCTCTATCTGTCAGTCTGCAGTGTATTGAATTGCCTCTATCTGTCCGTCTACAGGGTATGGACTTGTTTCTATCTGTCAGTCTACAGTGTATTGACTTGTCTCTATCTGTCCGTCTACAGGGTATGGACTTGTTTCTATCTGTCAGTCTACAGTGTATTGACTTGTCTCTATCTGTCCATCTACAGGGTATGGACTTGTTTCTATCTGTTAGTCTACAGTGTATTGGCTTGTCTCTTGCCTGTGCATCAATTTTTTCAATCCTCTGTGCGTCTATCGACGTACACTGTATGTACTTTCTGTCCATCAAACTTTCTCATCCTTTGTATATCTCTTAGCTTATTCATTGCTTGTCCCTAAAACTATAGAACTTATAACGATTTTTAGGCTGCATACATGCACATGCATCAGTCAGTTGTAATTTGTTTTAGCTGATATGGGCTTAGAGGATTTGATGAAGTACATGAAGACGAAGGAGCCACCTGAGCAAGTGTTATCCTCTGTGGACCTAGAAGGAATTGTTCAGTTTATCAAAGACAAAAAAGCCAGTAATATCGTAACAATGGCAGGGGCTGGAATCTCGACATGTAAGAATTAACAGCAATTTAAATGTGCACATTATCTAAAATAAAATTACAATTAAAAAATTGTACAATGTAAATAGAATGAATGGTGAAGCTTTAATGTTTGTTAAGATTAAAATGTTCATCAAGGATTAAAAAAAAACATTAATATAACAATGGTCGGAGCTGAGACCTCTATATGTAAGGAGTAACAATTATATATTTGTGCATATGTTCTTCTAAAATAAAAGTTAAATTGTAAATAGAGAGGTTGGTGAAGTTTTTAGAAATATTTGTTGAAATTAAAATGTGAAAGTAACTTTTTTTGTACGCCGTTGCATCCATATCATAACTATTTTGTAAATTGAGATGACAGATTTAATTCGTCTTCTGTATAATTTTCTATATTTCCCCCTCAAGCATGGAAGTCATTTTGCTTAAGTTTCAATCTTTAATTAACTAAAGCTTAAAAGTATAACAGAACTATTTATAATTTTTAGCGGCTGGTATACCAGACTTCCGATCCCCAGAAACTGGACTCTACCATAACTTAGAGAAATACAACCTGCCGTGTCCCCAGGCTATATTTTATCTGGAGTACTTCAAGGTGATGACCTTTATCTTGTTGTATTACTAGAGTCATGGGAATTTGGTTCCAGTCTATAAAGAAAACAATGGGGAAGTTTTATTCTCGAATGTTATTATTTTACTTTTATTTCCTTTGGAATTACTATTGCCTTTATTTTTGAGACATAATGTTTGTATAGTCTCTGTATAAAATAAGTTCACTTCTCCATGGCACCTGATCCCACCTCTGATGTTTTTGGAGGTCCGTGTTTGCTCTGTTCGCGATTTTTATTGTCTTAATGGGCTTTGAGCTTTAATGCTGTTCGTTATCTCCATATTTCATCATAAAAATTGATTCCTCCAACTATTGATAAGATTTTCATTTCCATTGGAAGACAATCTTGTAAAATTGGCTTAATTTAAGAATATGTTTAAGGCACAGAAGTAAATATTCCTCACGAAAAACAATATAACATCTGAGTGTAAACAATTCAAGTTACTGTGCATGATTATCATATAGTGTAATTGTAATGACCCGGTATGAAAACGTTTGCCAGTGATTGTTTAATTCATAGGAGTCACTTATACGTCTTGTAATTTTATTATATCATGCATGTAATTTGCTACATATAGATTAACAGATATGTTTATATCAAGTATTTTTTCTATGATGTTGCTGTTTTAGTTTCACTAGTCTCCACTGCAGAATAAAATTTAAAAAAAATATATGAAGAGAAATTTGGACTTTGATTGAAATATGAATGAACAAAACTGAGTTCAAATCAGAGCTTAATCACTATAAAGTAAAAGACTATAAAAGCTACAATAAATAACCTTTGTTTAGGTAAGCTTTATAATTTCTTATTATCTAGTATGTTTTCGAACCTAACTGGTTTTTTTTTTTATTGTAATCACCTTATTGACCTTTTTATGCTACACAGCTCTATTTCAAATTTATAATAACTGAGAGCCATTTTTTTTTTCAGGAAAATCCTGAACCCTTCTGTATGCTGGCAAGGGAACTTTGGCCGGGAAAGTTTAAGGTAAAGATAGTTCAACAATCACTGTATTGCCTAGAGGGTGTCAATCATTTTGATAAATAAATCAAAGTTGGCTAGTGATTCACTCTTTTGAACATTTGATGTTGTGAACCAGTTTTACTCTGAAGAATGCATGTTAATAATAAAGGAAAATGTCTCCATCACAAATATTTATTTAGATATAGTCATGAACAAGTTTTAAGCCGAAAATCAAAAGCATAATATTTTTGTCCCGTGTTTCTGTCTACAAAAACATTAATATTTGACTTCAGCTTTTGAACCTTCGTATTCGGTAAACTCTTCAGTTCGAGCTTATTAAACTAATTGTGAATTAAATTACCATCTTGCCAACAGTTGTAGAAGTAAATAAAAACTAGGTGGCATCGTGATGGGTTTGACAAATAACAGGAAATGGTAAAATTTCAATTAAAAATTTTTTTGCCCTATAAAATGTTGTAAAATATAATAAGTAGTTTATCCAGGAAGTGTTGTTTACATCACAAATTAACCATGTCAGGGGGTATTGTAATTTTTGTTTTCAATAATTCTCGAATGAGAATCATAGGGTATTGTTAATTTACAGTAAATGTCAAGAAATGAAAGTGATCAATTCCATTAAATTTCTCAAATCATTCAACAAACTTCGCATGGTATTATTTTTTTTTAGATTAAATAGCCAATTGTACACATTCATAAACGTTTCAATTTTCTCCATTGTAGCCAACACCATGTCATTATTTCATTAAACTTCTGAATGAACATGGACTGTTGAAACGCCACTACACACAGGTATATCTCCTACAGTCATTCTGGTGATATACAAATACATGTTTATATCTATAACATACATACAGCTAAAAAAATTACTTAACCTTACAGTCATGCTTTTGTAAACAAATTCACATCTTTGAAAGAAACATAATAATTCTAAACAAAGACATTATACAAAAGATATAATGGATTTTGCAAAATAATGATAGTTTTTATGTTCATGATTGATACTGCACTTTGTAGTATCTCTTGTTACTCCACCATTGTCACGTATAGCAGCGTAAATGCGACTTTACTGAAAGATATTACTAAATGTACTAAGTGTTCTTGCTTAGTGGAATCAGGAAAATAATTTTTATTTCAACAGAACTTGGCATAGTGCCAAAAGAAAGTTTCTCAAACACAATGCAGTTTCTACCCTTCAGTGGCTAGGAAACAGTCCTGATTTAAATCCATGTGAATCATTTGAGGTTGAATAAAAAAGATCATTTCTTACAACATGTCATTGATTAAAACGATACATTGAAGGTATTCCAGAAGGAAAGGTACTTATTTCCACAAAAAGTTCTCTGGAAGTATAACTCGCAGTGTGCATAGTCTCATGTAGGGTATTATTTGTGCCAGTGGTGGAGCAACAATAAGTACCACAATGTGTCATTTATTAATTTTTAATCTAAAGTTGAAATGATAATTTTTCATGCAATAATTTTCAACTTTCAGATTGAAAATTAATAAATGACAAAAGTACAATATCAATTATGAACATAAAAACAATAATGATATTGCAAAATTTATCATATCTTTGTTTAGAAGAATTATGTTTCTTTCAAATTTTGCTCACAAAATCTTGTAAGGTTATGAAATTTTTGAGTTTTATAATATGCATATTTGTATAGATTTGTTACACATAAGTAAATTTTAAGATTTCTTTTTCCTTCTAATTTCTTTAATGATTAATGATTTAATAGTTTTACGGTATTTGTGTTTTCTTTAAAAACTTGATGACTGAAACATAGTACATTCATGTACTCCAGAAGGATAGAAAACATAGATGTGTTTTACCAAAGTGTATATTACATCACAACAGTTTTGTATCATGAGTGAACAATAAGCTAATATTTTTATCGACTGTCTCTAGAACATTGATACTCTGGAGAGTGTGGCTTCAATTGACGCTGATAAAGTTGTGGAAGCTCACGGTTCATTTCGCTTGGGTCACTGTCTGGAGTGTAATGCTGAGTACACACAAGATTGGATGAAAGGTGAGTAAACACTAATCTCAAAGTCACGTGTTATCACAGCAGTCACGCCCACAACTAACATGTGTTTACATCCTTGTACAGAATCACTAAGCTGTATCTATTCGATCATTAACACTAATGAGATAATTATAAAGCAAGTCATTTGCACAAATACCTACCCCCTCCCGAAAATAGAAATTTAGAGAAGCAGCCTTCTTTTGCCAAAAAGTTATGTCAGAAATTCAGATTTGGTGGTTTATTGTGTTTTTATTGTTTCAAAAACAATAAAAACACAATTAACATGAAATATGGAGATAACGAACAGTATTCAAGCTCGAAGTCCAGAAATGCAAATCGAGAGCAGAACAAACACAACCTCCAAAAACATTAAAGGAGGGATCAGGTGCCATGGAGGAGTAAGCATCCCCTGCCGACCGGTCACATCCGCCGTGTGCTCCTTGTATATCTATAACTGACATATTCTCTTACATGATTACTCTAAGGATGCATAAAAAATACTCTCATTAACCTAAAATTTGGCAGTTAGATTCATCATGCATTTTCTAGATGTTTGTATAGAAAATTATCAATGTGCATTTTTTTAATGATAAATGCAGTGCTGCTGGATTTTCTTGTGAAACTTGTACATAAATACATGTTAATGTCTATAAATATTCTAGTCTTTGTCTCATTTTTTCTTACCAGGGAAAATTTTAAGTAAAGAGCTTGAAATTCCGAAATGTGAGAAGGAAGGTTGTGATGGAATCGTCAAACCTGGTAAAGTAAGATAAAACTCATTTAAAAGGATGTCACTGTGACCTCAAATTCCTTATAACAGAGATTCTTTATATCCGTAAACATAGTGAAAAACATAGCGAAAAGTCTTCTAGGGATTCGTAAAAAGTTCCCTATAAGCGAGATATCCTATAGAGCGAGTTCTTTATAACCGAATTTTACTGTAATCATTTTTTTTTCGCCAAAAATTGCTTTTATGTATATATCAGGAATAACATACATGCACTGGTCATTTTCAAAGTCATAATACAGCGATGTGAATACAGATTTTCATGTCACTGGTAATCCCAAATGTGTTCCTCGTGTAAAATGTGTTCTGACAATCTCATGTATTACAGATGTCGTTTTCTTTGGGGAGACGCTGCCAGAGAGGTTTGCCAAATGTGTGAAAGAGGTGAAATTAGCTACTTCATTTTTACCCTGTCAAATTGCAGAAGAAAACTGTTTTTAAACATCTGCATAGCACAAAAATGATTTCTTCTGTTGTAGGATTTTAAGAAATGTGACTTACTGATAATCATGGGTACCTCTCTAGTTGTACAACCTTTTGCCTCACTTACAAGCAGGTAATTGCAATTTATTCGCATCATTTACATGTAAATGTCTTTAAAGTGGTTATGGCGGCAGTTTTCGATGAAATATAAAGATAACGAACAGTGTTCAAGTTCAAAGGTCCATTGGAAGAATAGAAATTTGGAGCAGAGCAAACACGGACCTCTAAAAATATCAGAGGTGGGATCAGGTGCCATGAAGGAGTAAGTATTCCCAGTCGACAGGTCACAACGGCCGTGTGTTCCTTGTTGTAATCGAGCAAAGAGAAAAATCTGTAGATAATTCAGTTTGAAAATAATGGCTTAAAATTTGTATATAAATATAAGGAAAAGTATTTTTGACTTGTTTAGAACGTTTATGCAGAGTTATGACTCTTGGGGCGACAAAAATTCTTAGATATACAGATTTATTTCACTTTAATTTTGCTTAATGAAATTACTTGGTCAACTTTCAACAACTGTTACAAAAACCAACAAAAATACACTTTAACTGTATTTACAATTGCAAAAGACATAAAGCCTTATTGATCATAGCTACGAATTGAGTTATGTTCTAAGTGAGTACTGTCTCATCAGAAATGATTGGTCAAGGACATTCAAACCAATCGTATGGTCACTGATAGTTTTTTGGATAAGTATAGCCAGTTCACAGGAATGGAAAGCTTTCAGCTTACACTTTAAATAATAGATTGTCTGTGAAAAACATTTAGGCTCTGAAAATCCCAGGGGACCTCTCTGACTCCCCGCTAGATCCACCCATGACATTGTATGTGAAAAACATTTAGATTCGGCTACCCATGTGTGTTTCTTATTGCAGACGTATTAATAAAGTTTTTTTTGATATAGGGTTTGGGAGGAAACACCAAGGTTGTATATTAATTTAGAAAAGACAGGAACTAAACCGGTAAGTTCACTCATAAGTGAGATGAGGAAATATACCTAAGTGTTCTTGAAAAAGATATTTTTCTTGATTTGGTATACATATTTTTTTTAATGTTTTTGTTCGATATCTCTTTATAGTCTTTCCTTGACTACTTTCTGATTATCTATTTCAAAACAACTTGAAAAGTTTACATACAACAAAGCAGAGAGAGAGAGGACGTCATGATAATTTTGTCTGTAAGGCGCTTGCTCCGTGATTGGAAGGTTTTGGGTTCTTGCATTGGCCGCGACAAATATAATTCGATAGAAAATACTTCGCCAAGCATTCGGCACTTTAAAGAAAATGTTGAGCGTCTATAGGATGAGACCTTAAAAACTGAGGGCCTTTCTCACGACATGTGTTGGTACGATAAAGGTACTTCAGTGGCCAGTGCTGAGCATTGATCTAAATTTGAAGTCTTTCACCGAAAATCGGTGTCATCTCATATGAATGAAAAAATCTTGCAAGGGGTGTTAATCTACAATCAATCAATCAATCAACAAAGCAAAGGATTTGTCAAATGGAACATCCGTCCTCTTATTTGGTTATTCACCGGAAAGGCAAAGGTTCTCTGTTCAACAAACTACCAACATTAAAACTATAAAACAGTTTATTTTGCCTTTGTACATGGCACCAAAATTTGATACTACCTGAACTAAATATTTAAGTGATTATTTTAACCAAAAGTTTAAATTTATGTCATGTGTCTGTCAACTACCTTTTATAGCTATTTTGAACGTCTTCTGTGCTAAAGTATAGAAAATTTCATTGTGGAAACTTTAAGACGGCAGAATTGGATCTCATAAATCACATCACTTTTCATTAATCACATCATCTTTGAGAAAACGCTATCTCTCACCTTTCCCTGCATTTTTGGTACAATTTCACTGAGACATGCTATAAAAATTAAACTAGAGCAAGATACATAATTCTAGATATGAGTTTTTATTCCGGTGAAAGGATTTACTATGTTTAGCAAAACTAGAATAATTTTTTTTTTCAAAACTCTATTTCACCTAAAGTTTTCATCCGTTTTTCAGTTTTTTCAATAAAACGTCTAGACTAAACCAAGATAAATTATTCTCTTGATCTTGATTCCATAAATGGTGTTTTCATGACTTAAAACATCTTTGAAATTCCATTAAAATTGCTATACTTTTCCTACTGTTTTGGTACAATTTCAATGAGACTTGGTACACAGGTATATTACATCAAGATACATAATTTCATGCATCGGATTTTTATTTTGATGATTGATACTGAAATCTGATTATCAAGGTTATAATAATCTGAAATTCATGAAAGTACTACTTGTCCTACACTTTTAGTATGGCTGTAAATTAACTTTGTTACAAGTTTAGAAAATATCAAAGTACAGGATTTAGTAGATCCCCTACCCCTAAACTGGCACAAGCCAACGTTTTACTTTAAAGCTTTTATGAATTCAAACCAGCATAGCTATTGTCTAATCAGACATATGTTGTTTTTTTTCCCAGACTAATGGATTTGCTATGTTAATGTTTGGAGGGGGTTTTAAATTTGATGCTGAAGATAACTATAGGTAAGTATTACTCAGGATATATAAAAGCAACTCTAAACAATAGAGCAAATTCTTTGTTTTGAATATGATTCAGCATTTGACTATCCTATTAATAATGTCTTCTGTATGTTAAAATTTGCATTTAGGACAGATCACAAACTTGATTTGCATAAATTGTATTACTCTCCCCTGTCTTTGTCTGACTACCCCCTGCCAATCCTTATATGGCCTAGATGACATGTTATTTGGTAAATATAGATACTACCCCCTCCCTCTTTTTTGACAAAATGTTAAACATCACTTCTTCTTCCATTTTATGCCCGACTATTCCCCATGGCCATCTTTTTATGACCTATATGTAAATATATATAATGACATGTCCTTTGGTCATTATAATCAATATAAAAGCATCTTATATCTGTAGACACATTTAAGTCATCAGCAACAGCAAAAACAAGTCTACATTAATTCTAGTCAAGGGTTCCGAACTTATGGTATAGTCATAATTTTCACATCATTATGACGTATCATAACGAGTCATAGGCCTTTTTACAAAGATTATACGACTTAAAGACCAAAACTTAAACTTATCGTAAATTCTTTCAAAATTACTTATTCTATAAAAAAAAATTCCTTACATGAAAATTTCTTTTAAAATTCTTTTTAGAATATTAAAACCGTTTTCGTATTAATGTAAAGAAGAAAGTTATTTACAAAATCATATACGTTGATCTTAGTCAGTTAGTCTTCTAAAAACTTTAAGAAAATTTAAAATCACCAAATTTTAAAAAGTCAATAACATCAAAGTGTACGACTTTTCGACATTTAATACAACCATTCCTCACGATAACTTGAAAACTAGGCCTTCTCATGTCATAAACAACTGCTTCTTCAATGAAATTAGAACTCGGAAATAGTCATATCTTGTGTTTGGTCATCAACAAAATTACTTTGTAAAAAATTACTCTGATTCTACACACAAGTACTCTGAATACTAAATTTTACTATGGAATGTTCCGTCTACCTGATCAATACATAGGGCTGCTCAAGGCCGATCAACAGGGGACGCTATCTCCTCCTAGGCACCTGATTTCAGGGGGTCCGTGCGTTATGCCTTATGCCCTATTCACAAAATTGTATTATGTTTAGATTTTTTGAAATCGATCACTGTTCGTTATATTCACCTTTTCATTCGCAAGTTGTTTTGTAAAATAGGGCCCAGAATCATAATACTCTAGATTTTACCCTTCAGCACGTATCAGTACTTAATGCTTTGTTATAAAGAACCATAAAAGTCCCTTTCTTTTCACAAACCATGAAAAAATTCCAGTTTTAAAATATTAACATATATATCATGAAAATATTCTTATAATTTTTTTCTTATGTTCCTTAAATATTTTAGTGAACTTACTCTGTGTATTGAAGGGATGTTTTCTTGGAGGGCTCTTGTGATGATGGTTGTTACAAACTGGCAGACATGTTAGGATGGGGCGTAAGTATTGGTTAAAGATATGTTACAAACTGGCAGACATGTTAGGATGGGGAATAAGTATTGGTCAAAGATATGTTACAAACTGGCAGACATGTTAGGATGGGGAGTAAGTATTGGTCAAATATATGTTACAAACTGGCGGACATGTTAGGTTGGGGAATAAGTAATGTTAAAGATCCCTTTCAAGTTCATCAGTATGTTTGGATTTGAAGTAGTATAGATCATGAATCTACTTTATGCTAACTAGTGTGTTTGCAAGGAAAGTACTTGTAGAACAAAGCTATGCTACAAGCTGACCAATTAACATATCATTATTGGGGTACTCACAATAATAATATGTTGGTCAGCATGTAGCATAGCTATGTTCTACAAGTACTTTCCTTGCAAACACACTAGTTAGCATAAAGTAGATTTATGATGGTTGTAACACTTTGAAAAACATATCAGTACTAAAGATAATAAGATTGTAACAAGACTACCAACACATTTGGGTTGAGAGTATTGTAGACAAAAGCTATGTAACATTCTGGCAACCGTTTTTGGATTGGTGAAATTGTAAAAACATTGTACATGTACTAGAGGTGCAAGACGCTGACATAGTACTACAGATGAAAGAGGTGATCAACATGTTCATGTAGATCATACAATTGTAACACGCTGATCAAGACATTAAAATTGGTGTAACTATATAATATGCTAGCAAATATTTAAGGATTGGGAGGGGTTTGATATTCTAATTTATTATACTTCTATTCAAACGTTTCCTATATAATGTTTAGGAGGTAGAATTTCATTTCTTAGTCTGCAAATCTTTGTATATATTTCCAAGCTATCCTCTGATACATTATCAATGCTATCCATCTCCCATAAACTTATTTCTCATAATTTGCTTTTCACATAGTATAGCAAAGCTATACAATGTATCCTATAAAGTGTACTATCCACCCCTTAGTAAGAATATATATACATCAATAAAATAAAACAATTATTCACTGGTTGTAAGAGGGATAACTCTTTTGTTAAACCCTTGACGAGAATTGCTATGTAATCTCCTCGAGCAAGTCCTCGGTGAATAGTTTTTGTTGTGGTTTTGATAAAATAAGTCTTAAAGCTATCTGACCACAGCCAGTAGATAAGATTTGAATTTACATTCACATATCTAACAGGAGAAAAATGGTGATAAAAAAGGATTGTAGTATGACCATTGGTCATATCAGAACTTCTGTATAAGTCTTTTTTTGGCACTTTTAGAATTTTACAAATTAAGTTAAAACAATTATGAAACATTACAGAAAATAATTATATGTACAATCAAAATAAATTTTGATAAACATTAAGATAAAACAAACTCGTCCAGTGATTGAACATGTCTAGTTTTATTTCTAAAGTTTACCGTTAAACTCAATTCCTTTTCTATTAAAAAAAAAAAGTGAACAACTCTTCAGTTAAATCCCAATTTGATACTAAAATTCTCAACAATTTTTTTTTTTACTTTCGGATGAGCTTCGTTAAAAAGAATTTAAGTAAATAAGTTAAACAATCTTATTTCGATGGAAAAAGTGAAGAACTTTTCAATTCCTAATTTGACAATAGAAGTTCAATTTTTATACTTTAGGATGAGCTTCGGGAAAAAGTGAAGCAGGAACACAAAAGGATTGACAATGAAAATGCAAGAGAGGATCTCAGGAGGATTGACAGTGAAAATGCCAGACAAAAGAAACAAATTAAGTCAACTTCATCTTCATCAAGAAAAAGTACTTTGACACCATCTTCAAAAAGTACAAAAAATACTTCAACTCCATCTTCAGGAAGTACTTCAACGCTGTCTACAAAAACAAAAAGTACTTAATCAAGTGAAGTTTAATGTTGAATTTATTGGGTAGGGGTAAGAGCAAGGAACTGCAGAGTTGTTATTGTCTTGGGGAATTAGCTGATGTGCAGGACGCTCAAGTCTTGATGCACTGTGTGGAGGCAGTATCAATGGTATCGATACATGTACGTGTATTTGTCGACTTGCTATTGAATGCATTTAACAAACAAGTCATAACACAATAAAATAAGGAAGGACAATCATAGAATGATATAACAACTTACAACGAATTAACAATTACGTTTTTGTGTGTGTCTAGGAAATAAAAAAATTAAAGTTCTAAAAATGGTTTTGTTTTCTACAAGACTTCTTTTTTTATTTCTATAAATCAAAACATTTTCTGGAGGCATCAAATTAATAACTATTCAACTAATGTAAATATATACTTTTTACGCTGTAAAAAATGGCGCTATGATTATTGCAATATATACCAGGTATCCCGAGTGATCAATAAATAACTGTAAACACTGTAAAGTGTTGAAGGCGTTGAAATATAACAAGTCTTCTTTTAAAATTATTTTTATCTTTATAGAGGAATGAAGTATAACAATTTTTTTTTAAAAATAATATTTATCATTATAAAGGAATGATTTTTTTTTCTGCTTTTGATTTCCTAAAGTATTCATTATGATAAAATTTCTTTACGAAGAAAGGTTTTTAAATTAATGGATGGAGTTTAAGGTATTTCCACCCTCCTATGATGTCATGGGTTTTTACAAATACTTATTAAATTTATGTCCCATTGAAACATATCTTTTAGAAGAATGCTTTTCAATGGGTGTAATAACAAATATTGTTTAATAAAAGAATTTAAAAAATTGAATATTTTCTCGGTTTAATCAATTATTCAATCTTAAAGAAATGTTGCTAAGGGCAATAACTTCTTCTCATGTATCTATATGCAGCATTTTCCTTATTGTACTTCTAATGCAAAATGGTTTCCCTGATTTTCCCAATTCAAACATATTTATAAAGAAGCAATTATTTTGGAACTTTCAACATCACGATTATGTATTTGAACCAGTTTTTACATTATTTATATAATACTGTTTACTAAAAATGTACGATTTTTAAATGCTGACATATGCTTCTGTTTATTTATGTCTTACATCTTAAAAATATGGCAATCAATATATTTTTTTGTGATTATTTATTAATTTAAACTAATTCGTGTCACGGTAGGCGTTGGCACGATAAAGAACCCTCACTGCTCAATGGCCCTGAGTGCTGAGTAAAGGTCTTAATCAGTAGCCCTTCACCAGTATATGGTGACGTCTCTATATGAGTGAAAAATTCTCGAACAGGACGTAAAACAACAATCAATCAATCTACTTTTAACCCATAAAATTGCGAAGATGCAAATACCTTAAAATAAAACATTTCAACATAATTCTAGCACAAGAGAAATTGTAATGATAGAATGGGTCACAAATGAATTTTGTTGGCTCGTTTAATGATGTTTATTTGTTTTTGTTTTTGTTTTTTTGTTTTTTGTTTTTTTGTTTTTTGTTTTTTGTTTTTGTTTTTATGCCCCGGATCGAAAGATCCCGGGGGTATATTGTTTTTGTCCTGTTTGTCTGTTTGTCTGTTTATCTGTTTGTCTGTTTGTCTGTCTGTCTGTTGTCAACTTTAACCTTGCCCATAACTTTTGATTGGTTGGAGCTATGACTTTCATATTTCACATGTGTATTTCTTTCTTTTGGGTACCATCATATTTGACCTTTTGACCTTGACCTTGGAGTTTGACCCGCTTTTGCAAAATTTTATGAGACTTTAACCTTGGCCATAACTTCTGAACAGTTGGTGCTTGGGGTTTCAAACTTCACATGTGTATTCTTTGTGACAAGGCCTTCCTTTGGATACCAACCACTTTGACCCTTTGACCTTGACCTAGGAGTTTGACCTTGAAAAATTTTAACCTTGGCCATAACTTTTGAACAGTTGGTGCTTAGGGTTTCAAACTTCACATGTGTATTTCTTGTGACAAGACCTTCCTCTGAATATCAACCACTTTGACCCTTTGACCTTGACCTAGGAGTTTGACCTTGAAAAACTTTAACCTTGGCCATAACGTTTGAATGGTTGGAGCTAGGGCTTTCATACTTCACATATATAATGCTTGCGACAAGACCTTTCTTTTGGATACCAACCACCACTTTGACCTTTTGACCTTGACCTAGGAGTTTGACCTACTTTTGAAAAACTTTAACCTTGGCCATAACTTTTGAATGGTTGATGCTAGGGCTTTCATACTTCACATATGTAATCCTTGTGACAAGACCTTCTTTGGATACCAACCATTTTGACCCTTTGACCTTGACCTAGGAGTTTGACCTACTTTTGAAAAACTTTAACCTTGGCCATAACTTTTGAATGATTGGTGCTAGGGCTTTCATACTTCACATATGTAATCCTTGTGACAAGATCTTCCTTTGGATACCAACCACTTTGACCTTGACCTTGACGTTTGACTTTTATTTAAAAAACTTTAACCTTCGCCATAACTTTTGAACAGTTGTATCTAGGTCTTTCAAATTTCACAGGTGTATTCCTCGAGACAAGACCTTTCTTTGGGTCTCAACATTTTTTATCTTTTGGCCTGGATTTTGACTTGCATTTGAAGAAACTTTAACCTTCGCCATAAGCTGCCATACGGGGGCATCAGTGTTTCACAAACACATCTTGTTGTTGTTGTTTTTTTTGTTTTGAATATGTACTCTTTATAAAATATTTTTTTAAAATGTATTGAATAAGATTAGCAAGGAGAACATCACTGTAATGATAATCAATTAAGCTAAAAGAATAAAATCTTGCATCAGTCAAAGTATTGAAAGCACTTCAAATTATACAGCAGTTTAAAAGTTAACTTGTTAACTCTTTTAGCACAAAACAACAAAAATCATAAAAAGTCAGTCATTTTTCTTTCCTCTAGAAATTTCCTTGTAACGGTGTACTTACTACATTTACATGTCAATTATACAAATACCAATATTCTTTTTTATGAAATTATTTTTTGTGATTTATAATAGAGTGAAAAGAAGCTTTTATATTCCTTCTTGTATAAACACGGGTATTTTCTTTACATATTACCCACAACATTCTTGCCGATTGTAATTCAGCTCGATAATATTACCTTCAGTAGCTTTGAGTAGTAGTGGGAACCAAAATTGCTAACAGAACCCCTAAAAACAATACAAATAGATAAGAATGATGAAAATATTGCCAGGATGTCTATCTTGAGCTTCAGACGTTAAAAGTATGCAGTATCATAAACTATTATACTAGCAAATACTTGTGTATGTTGTTTTTGTTTGTTAGGTAGTTTTTTTTTCATGAAGGCATCTTCGCTAGCCAAGAGTTTCTGATACACTACCCTCCTCACAAACCATTGACCAATGGTTCTCTCAAAAGTGGGAATTGTTTACGTCACGTGATCACGACTCTTATCACGTACACACAAATTGCGTCATCGACAGAAATATGCGTTTTTTAAATATATTTATTTATATATATTTAAAGTATAATTAACAAGCAGGTATCGAGCGATGTTTATTTTATTATGAAGGGTGCATATCCATATCTGCAATATAAATTTCTGCAGATTATGTGCATATCTGCTGAAAGTTAGATGACACCATAGCTATTTATAGAATGGCAAGTTATCTTACGGAACGTTATTTACTAGTGCTTTTTATTCCCAAGACTAAAGAGTCAAGACATATCCCGAACGGAGATATCATAATTCAAAAAAGCATTCTCTGATTGGTCGAACAATATCAATTGATTCGAATTAACTCAAGAAAAAAATCCCGACTTTATGATAGCACTATAGGCCAATGGTTTGTGAGGAAAGTAGTGGATCAGAAACCTTTGACTAGCGGAGATGCCATGAAGCTAGACTTTAGAATAAATCTAGTGTTGCATTTGTTCTATTGCCAGCGACTGATATTTAAAACTGTTTTTCGTACTTCAGAGTGAATCGTTGCAAATTACTAGTAGAATGGTGGTTTTTGAACCAGTGGCATAGAGAAAATTATTTGTATTGCTTTTCTACACACAAATAAATGAAGAAAAAAGTAACTACCATAGGAACATTGGACTTTATTTGTTTCAAAGAAGGCTGTTTTTCAGATGATTTTGGAATATCTGGTATTAGAATAATGAGTAACAATGTTTTCATTATTTAGTTTGAATTCATTTTTATTTCATAGTACTCACTTGAAAACCATATAATTTTATTGCACACCATTTGCTCTAACATATACTGGTACAATGTATCAGAGTATGAAATATTTAAATTACTATGTATAAGAAACTGACGTTTTAAAACTTCTTTTAATACTTCCCTTACTTATGCAGCAATATACCTTCATCACCTGCATACGGGGTATATATCTCTCAGTTGATTCGATACGCAAGAGCATGCTCTACGTATGTACAATTTCTAAAACGAGGTAAATTATTGACAAACAAGTTGATGAAACAAGAATATCAGCTGTCTCGTTTAAAGTCATCATTTCGGAAGTTCTATTGTCGATACAATGACCTTGTCAGCAAATACAATTTATCATTGAGTCAAATGCTGACTGACGTTTTTCATACTAATTGTTAGGCCATTATTTACACACTGAATTGTCGACGGATTTTTCCGTTATTTCCCGATCATGACAAGGAGCCCACGGCGGGTGTGACCGGTCGGCAGGGGATGCTCACTCCTCCATGGCACCTGATCCCACCTCTGATATTTGGAGGTCCGTGTTTGCTCTGCTCCTATTTTGTATTGTTTAATGGACTTTTGAGCTCGATTA